GTAACGTTTTATTTACAGTATTTTTTTTAATTGTATTTATTTTATTCATTTTTATTTTGCAATAATTCACCAAATATTCTCTCACCAATATTACATATGTTTACATGCTTTGCATACTGCTCTTTGGATCGATTTATGCTTTTTAAAAAGTTTTATTGTAGTTTAAGTTTTATTGTAGTTTTGTGATTTTATAGTTATTTATTGTCTTTAAGCTCGACTTGGAGCAGAATGTGAACAATGGTCAGGGCCGGATGTTGTAATTGCAGGTTGAGCAATAATTGAATGGTCTCTGTCGGCCGGTTTAAAGAGGCGGCAGGGAAATGGAAATGAATTGGATCAGATTTATATTTTATTGTATTATATGAATATGCCAGGTATAAGTTAAAAAAAGACACAATATGTCAACATTACAATAAAAGCAGCACAATTGATCCACTGTGATTCAAAGATGTAAAACAAAACGTGAAACAAGTCAAAGAAGAGAGAGTGAATAGAGTCCCTTTATGCAAGAGAGGAAGTAAAGATGTAAATCACATACAACATTTAATAAACGGCTCCAAACAAGTCGTAATCATATCTCACTTTGTAGCTCCCTTCATGTGCAAAGTGAGATGTGATTACATAAGTTAGTATGATAGACTCAAGTCTTCAATCTTTAAGGGTGAAAAACTAGGAAGTGTTATTTCTACCAAGTTTATTGTTTACACCAACTAAGACATTTAAAAAACTAAAATGTGGAAAACGTAGTTCAACTGCCAAATATATCTATTTAATATGAACACATATACAAAAGCTTATCATGAGCATAATTCAATACTGTTTTTTTTAACATTTAACTTTATATATATATATATATATTAATTTACACACATATATATAACATTTAACTTTTATTTTATTATTATATTTTATATTCTTTTACTTTTTTAACACCTGAACATCTGAATCTGAATTGTAAGTCGCTTTGGATGAAAGCGTCTGCTAAATGACTGTAATGTAATGTAACATGACATGTACATTTTCCAGCACATCACTGGTGTGATCCACTCTGATTGTAAACTGATAGAAACATTTACAAATATAATTATGATCCCAAACTTGCACTGTGGCCAATCACATTTTGTGTTGGCTTTGTTGATGAAATCACAGGAGATGATGTGATTTCACTGATGGAGGAACTATACTCAGGCTGCACAGAGAAATAGTTCTGAAAGAGGCCTTTGATGGGACAAATCCTATCAGATCGTGGAGGACAGGGTCTCATCAGACGGTGTCCCGGTGGTTTCACTGCGACCTAAAATCCCATCAGCGGGATGGAACACCTGATTCACATCTGAGGTGATTAGAGCGATAGGCTGCAAACAACAAGCGCCTTTCCCCCTTTTTTTATGAATGAATGCCGAGACCCCGTGATCCGGCCCAGCCAATGAGCAGCTCGCAACCTGCACCGCTCAACCCGCAGCTCTGCAGCAACAAGAGGTCACTATAAACGGCCGTACGCGTGGAGAGGAGACAGAGAGAAGCACGCGCAGTGAGCGGACAGCCTGCAGCAGCTCCACTCGGGCCCTCTTCACGCGCACAGACAGAAACAAGCTGGAAAGGAGGAGGAGGAGGAACGGCTCGTGATTTGTTTGTTTTTTTCCGCCTCCACAACTGGTGCGCCATGCCGCTGAAAAACGGCAACACCGTGGCGGTGGAGAGACGCGTGGACCTGGCCTCGCTCTTCTGCATGATCGGGCGCCACGGTCCCGCCGTGGCTCTGGCCGTCATAGCGGTGGTGTCCGTGGTGGCGGGTCTCGTCATCTACCGGACCGTGAGGAGGAAGCGGAGGAAGGCCACGGCCGCCGCCGAAGGTGACTGTGACGGCGGCGGCCCCGAGGGAGACGAGTCGGTGATCCGGGAATCTCACGGCTCCGTGGAGTCGACAGGTAAAGAAAAGATCCAGGATTAACCCGTGTGTGAGGTGTAACCCTGTGAGTGATGGTGGTGATTCATCCAAAGGGGGAAACCGTGACCCCAGTTAAACTGCTGAGGCATATCATTTCAATATGATTGCCTGTGATAATTCATAGCACGACGGCGTTAGTATTCATATCTGTGTGAGTTATGTTCCAGTGAGACTGTAGGAGATCTAGATAGCCTTCATGCCGTATTATAAAAGTCATTAATAACTCTGGACTAGTAGTAAAAGCTGACCTCACGTGCTCATCCAAATGCGTTTTAACAGTTAGTAGCTGCTCATGTTTGTACATGTTGGCTGTGATTGAATCAGCACATTAACTACAAAGTCCTGTGCAAATGTTGAGCTGCTTAAAAGCTGCTTTACCCGAGTGTTTCCACGCTGCTGTTGTACTTCTATTCCACAGCGGATCGGAGGGAAATCATTTCATGCTGCGCTTCTTTCCAAGATTAGGATTTTACAAACAAAACGTTTAATGAGAACATAAAATATGGTATAAATTAAACTGCCCACAGTAAATCCAATGGTTCTGATTGGCTCAACCTCATCCAGCTAGAATGGTAAATTGCTGCTTATGATTACATCCAGAATAATAGTATTTTAATATGAAATAGAAGAACACTAACGGGGGCAATTTGATACTTTGAGTACATTTAGGTAATTTTATATAAGGGGTTAATCTACTGACACACAGATCAAATTGACTGAAAAGTTTTTTTTGGCAGGTCAAACAAGGCCAACAAACAATTGCGCTGATTGCATTGATTACTCATCCTGTGATTTAGATATTCTGCTGTGTTGTCATTTAAAAAAAAAAAAAAAAGAAAAGGTACAAAGGTGGATAAGACAAAGTAAAAACAACAACAAAAAAAACAATATATCTGTCCTTTGTAAACCAGTAAAGATACTAATTCATCAATTATAATTAACCAAAGACATTTAATTAACATTAACCATTCTCTAGTCACTTTATATAAATTTATATTAAGAAAAAAAAAAACAAGTTCAATGTATATAATTTGAATTACTTTTCCCCCTTATATCTTCTAATAGACGTGAATGATGAAGGCTCATCAGACGTGAAGGAGGATGTGGATCCGATTTCGAGTGATCTCAGAATCCGGCACCGTCATGTTGCTGTTGCCGAGGAGACACCTGCACCATCTTCCCCTCCTGAGAGTGACGTCCGATCACCAGACATTGAGCGAGTCTCTTTGGACGGCACAGAGGAAGCAGCAGCAGTCGTGTGGGACTCTCACCAAGCAGAAGAGGCCAATGGGAGCCCGCAGAGTGATTCTTGCACAGAGGCTGAAATGGTGTCGGAGGATGCTGTCGGTCGCCATCGGTGTGAAAGCGGTGACTCGATTAAGGACGTGTTGGAAGAGTTCCACGATAGCTGCTTGAAGGAGCCTGAGCCGATTAATGGAGAGGAGGTAAGCAGCCACTTGTTCTCTGTGTGAGGTTACATGCAGGCTACAGACAAATTTAAACGTTATCCGTCACAGCTGGTCCATTTATATATATATATAAAAAAAAAAAAAGCTGGTGGGTGGATGTTGTTACCATTTGTACACCAACTAATCAGTGGCTGTAGCTTCATGTTCAGCAGACAGATACGAGAGCGCTATCTCTCTCATCTAGCTCTCAGCAAGGAAGGAAAATAAGTGTATTTCCATATTTGTCTGAACTATTCCTTCAAGGAGTTGGAGCACCAACCCGGTGGGAATATTTCTCTCTCGCCTACATTTACCCATCTTCCCTCAGACCTCATTCTCTCTGTAGTTTCAGACAAGCGCAGGGTATTTTCAATCTTGTATGTATTTATATCTATAGTTGGACCCAAAGATAACACTTTTTTTGTTGGTGTTGTCTAGGTGTCAACAGCAGAATGCCAAGAAGATGAGGGCGTGACCCCGGAGAAGGATGTTTTTGACGAGACACCCAGACAAGAGGACAGCTTTCAGTGTGCTTCGAACGATCCGGTGTGCTTCCAACAAACCTCTCGTATGAGTGAAAACGGTGATGAAGCCGCAAGTAGCGTGGAGTCCAACTCGGAAGAGCCCGTCATTCATATCGAAGGTGCATCTCTTCCTAGCGTCTGTTGTGGGAAAGATGAGGAGTTTGAGCGAGACAATACAGATGGCATTGATTTCAGTAGTTATTCCGGCAAAGCTCGCCTCTCTCCAGAGGGGGAAAGTAGAAATGAGAGTGAGGAGGCAGAAGAGCACCCTTTGGACTACCTGCCAATCGGTCAACCGGCGGAGATCTCGTCATCAACATTCCAACGAGAGTCAAACCTGCCACCTACGCAGCAGGAGCAGCCTGACCATGCAAAGGACGAGGTGACGGCGCCCATTCGGGATAGTGATCGGGATGAAGATGGTGGTCTAGCTGGTGAAGAAGTTGTTCATGAAGACCACTTCAACGAACTTACAGCCGTCAAGTTGGACGCCACCTCGGCACAGTTCGACCAGCAAGGTGCGGAGGGGGTAAGCGGTCTTGTGTGTGATCAAGAGGTTGGCGTTCTTTGCGATGGTGCTGATCAGGCGAAAGGGAAAATGCCGACCAGCGGCAATGACGTTGCCTGCAGCGAAGAACGTGACGGTTCAAGTGTGGTGCTCAGCCCTGCCGTGACCTTTTTGAACGTGCCCGTAAAGGCCGATAATCACACTGGCGCTCTGTCAGGTACCTCAAGCATTGCTGACTTGTCATTGGATTGTCAGCCCCCGCAGAAAGCAGATAATACAGCTCCATCTCTTGATGAAGACACTAATTATACTATTCTTGGCCCTCAAATGCCATCGCACAAGACAGAAAATCTGCCTGAAAACAACGGAAATGGCACAACCGTGGTGTTGGCTGAAGAACGCAATGACCAAGTGTACTGCCCTCATGTTCAATCCCGTTATGAAGACCAACAGACGATAAGAAAGGAAGCTTTTGACGAGGCAAGTGTTGCTGCTGTTCTAGATAGAGCTGCAAACGTACCTTCTGTGATAGTTGACGATATATCTTGTCCTCACCTGCAATCCATTTGCCAAGACCAACAAATCGACCACGTGGAAAAGAATGAAACTTCCGACGAGACGAGGATCGATTCTGCCACTGATGCAGCTGCTTGCAACAACACTAGCTGCACTGCACTTTTAATGTCTGAAGAACTATCTCCTGACACGCAGTCTTCCTCCCAAGACCAACAGAGTGACCAAACAACAAATAATAAGGAAGATTTTTCCGAAGTGACCGCTGCTCCCATCCTGACGGAGGACATAAATCCTTCCTTGTGTCAAATTTACTTGCCATCTTTCGAGCATTTTGCACTGGGGGATAAGGACATATCATCTGCTGGAGTTGGTGAAGAGAGTGGGATTTCAAGCATGGCCGTCAGCCCTGATGCCGTTAACGAGTGTGACGTGATCTTTGAAAAAATGGTGCTTGAGGCGATGGATTGTGATCTGAAGTCTGACGGCCAGACGGAGGCTCAAAGCGATCTCTTTGCTGATGATGTATCCGTCATTGAAGAGGATACTGCGTGTATGGTGTTCGGGCCTTACCCATCGCATCCCGAGGACATGTTTGGCCACGAGATTGAGGACGGTTACTACAAAATGATAGATCAGTTTGCGGCACAGATTGCAGACAGCGTTACTTGCGTCACCGAAAAGCAGTCTGACATGAAAGTTGTTGGGGAGGTTGTGGAGAGTAAAGAGAAGAAGAAAGGAGGATGTGTTGACATGAAGGAGGCAACAAAAGCAGAGAAGGAGAAGGAAGAGGACTACGAAAAGACTGAAATCAGTATCATGGAAGCAACTATGGACAATAATGAATGGATCATGGATAGTAACTACCAAGCCTTTCCCTGGATGAATCTTTCCGCCTTATCTTTTGCCCAAGACGATACAAAAAGCAACCAGTTTCCCACTGAAGAGTGCCAATACAGCTCTGCTGCAGCAGACACCCATTGTACGGACACAACAGATATCCCACCTTCTGCTGAAGTCCTACAAGCCGGCACTCTCTCCCTTGTCGACGAAGATATACAAAATGTCCAGCCCATGCCCCAGAATGTCAATGTGACCTTCCGCGTCCATTACTTCACCCAAACGCCGTACCAGACGGTGGCTGTCACGGGAAACCAGCGGGAGCTAGGGAACTGGAAGGGATTCGTCCTGCTGGAGAGAGCCAAGGACGGGCACTGGGCCACGACGGTCAGCCTGCCCGCAGAGAGCCACGTGGAGTGGAAGTTCGTGGTGGTGGACAAGGGGGAGTTGTGCCGCTGGGAGGAATGCGGCAACCGCCTCCTCGACACGGACTCCGGGGACGAACTGCTGGTGCACAAATGTTGGGCCCGCTTGTGAGAGGGAGATCGGGATGTGGTGTGTTCAGGAACCTTTGGTACCGTATCCTGAACCAGATAGTCAAGTTTGATTGTTTCTACGGCCCGTCACAAGACCCAAATGCGGAATGGCCCCCAACACTGTATCATGTCATACATGCATCCTAGCATTGATTTGGTAAATGTGGGGGTCATCAAGAGGATACGTATGTTTTTTTGGATGTCAAGGTTGCAGATGATCATCATGATCTAATGGGACTTTTCTTCGAGGGTTGCTCTCTGATAGCCAGTGACTAAGTGGATCTTTCAGGGAACTGAAAAGATTATCATCGAAAGACAGAATCGTTGCCTAAGACGTCTCTTCCCCCCCCGTGGTTGTATCTATAATTATGCAAATCGCACCTCTTTAAGAAAATGGGTGACTTAATGCAAGTGTTAATTTGTGTAAATGGCGACTTTACTATAATGTCCGTATGCTGCTTCAGTACTCTCCAACGATCTATAAGAATAAATGCACATGGTTCACTTTTACTACAGCAATAATGAAAGCAATAACTGTATATTGTACACGGTATGACTGGTGCAGGTATTCTATTGTTTACCACTAAACTGTGATATAGTTGTAACTCTGATGCTGCTTTTATCTGCTGGGACTGTGCATGCAATATTGTCCCATTGTTCTATGAATGTGCCTTTAAAACCTTTTCTTTTTTTTCAATGAATGTTATAATACGTCAAAACAAATGTGGCTTTTCTTTTTAAAACGGCTTTGCTGGCCATCCTTACAGTTTAGTTTCTTACAGTATGTTTATTTTCTCAAAACAGCTGTCACTTGTTTTTAGGTCAAGTTTCAGTGCAGGCTATGGTCTCTATATCTCAGATCATGGCAGAGTATCTTGTTATGCAATACTGTGAAGATGATGCTACTTTTAATGTCATTGAGGTGGAGTTGGTTACCAAATAAATAAATATTCCAAGTCTGTCAAATCTGGGGTTTTGGTATGTTTCTTATATATGTTCATTCATTGAAGGACTGGGTGTTTGGAGCTAGTTGAAGAATTTACTTCCAACAGGAGTTGGGGGAGGAAAAAAAGTTTCTCACTAAATAGATCAATTAAAAATCCATTTTGAATTATTTTAATGTTAATGATGGACTGGATCATTTGATGCACAAACATATTTGTTTCCCCCCCCTCAGCTGAATATATCATTTAGGATCAACCAAAATGCACCCGGCTGTCTGTACTGAAGTTGTTTAATCAACTGAAGAGGGATATTTGCAGATCAATTCGGACACTCTATTATTTCTCAACCAGGCAGCCGCACAATGTGCTGATGTCGTCTAAATTTCTGTGAATCATTTTGCAACAAACCAACACAGACGCGTTGAACCTTGTGTGGTCTCTCAACCTTCGACCTGATGCCTAAACCCGATATTTTCCGTGGTTCGGACCAGAGGCCGTGACCTTGTTCCCAGTGCAGTCTGGTTCAGAGGTGGCTCATGCAGAGAAGGCCTCGTTAGCTGGCGTATTTTTCTGCCAGCACCGTGCAGAAGGTGACTTCACTGCGTGTGAAAAGAGGGTGCTCTTCATCTCCCAGTCCAGAGACTCGCGCACACACACAAGTGTAATGTTGCCAGTTCTATAAATGATTAATCTGCACTGCAGGGAGCGGGAGGGTTTATGTGAGGTTATTTCAGAGAATAAAAACCCAAAACTTAAGCAGTGCTGAAGGAGGGGAGGGGAAGATGCACTACGGGAAGAAAGTGAGTTTTTACCATCAGTAAATGAGATGTTAATGATTCATGGGCAGTCCGGCAAATAGAGGAACTCAGAGTGAGTCGTGTTCAGTCATTACTCAAAGGAAAGTAATCATCACTCACAAAGGCAAATCAAACTGTCAGTGTGAATGAACAAGACGGCTCATTAAATAGTAAGAATATGACGCACACATTTTGCAAGCCTAATAGGAATCAGAGGAAACTAACATGCCCCCCTATGTCGACCTGCCACTGTGTGTCATGTGACTGAAATGTGATCCCTGCCACGGTGCCACATTTGGAAGACCCCCTCCTCCAACCCGAAGTGACCAATACTTACAGGCGCCTCCCCTCTGGTATTGAACCCTGAACCTTTTGCGAAGCTTTTTTTTTTTTACCCAAAACGAGGCCTCCTGGACTCATTCGACTTGCCTCAAACGGGGGGGGGGGACTCTGACCATGCGTGGGTCGCGTGATATCTATTTTCAAAAACAGGAGTTCAGGGAACTTTTTGCCCGTTTGCCCCCAGTGCAGAGAGCCAAATATAACAAAACACGATTTTATGGAGAGGCTCTGTTGACACCGAAAGCCTCGGATGTCAGGAATATGTTCTATCCCTGTGTGTGTAACCGACCAGACCAGACTGATAAGATCCCCGATCATAGAAAGGTTATTGGTTCCGTAACGTAAGGTAACGTGTTCTCCTGGGATCATGAGTGTTATGCGGCGTGTGAACGCAGCACACCAGTCCTAATGTGGCAGCTGGGAGCGGGTGCACTTTCTAAGGTTGAAGGTAATCCTTTATTTAGACACGAGCCTCACAACTGACACCACCTACGCTCCACTTATAGATAACTCTCTCTTTATCTCACGCAGACATTCACACAAGCCATTTGTCAAACATTTTATAAACAGTTAAACCGATGTTTGACCCCTGTTAAGGCTAAAGTCTTAACGCTGAGTACGGCTCTTCACACACAGAGTCTGGAGTGAGCCCGGCCTTCTAATCAACACCTATAAAGGTTACTCAGCTGTTGTTCCCGTGTCTCACTGTGATAGCTGATCATGTGTCATGGGGGGGTAAATGATCGGTTGTCCACGGGCGGCAACCTCCGGTTCTGAAATGTGAAGCCAATGCTGAAAGTGCATTGAACTTGCATTCTCTCTATTGGCCATCAGGGGGCGACTCCTCTGGTTCTATAGAAGTCTATGACAAAATGACTCTGCTTCTCTCTTGATTTATTACCTCAGTAAACATTGTGAACATGAGTTTATGATCTCAATCTATAGTTTCAAGTCTTCTTCAATACAGCATGATGTTCATTTAGAGTCAAACAGACCATAAAGCAGGGTATGCTTTAGGGCTGAGCTACCTTGTGATTGACAGGTCTCTACCAGAGCCGTCTACGGTATCTCTACCTCACTCATCTGCAGTCCAAATATGGTCCCTTGCAAAAAAAAAACAAGATGGCGACGGCCAAATATGCCAAACTCGAGGCTTCAAAACCACAGTCCACAAACCAATGGGTGACGCCATGATGACTATGTCCACTTCATGTCCATCAACGAATTAATAGATACGTCTAAGGGGCCTTGAACAACCCCTAGATGCTGCAATGTGCATTACACATCACGACATGAAAGTATTGATGATTAATGAAAGTATTGATGAGTGGCTTTCATTATTATATACATTTTTTGATAATACAACTTTGTCAAATGACAACGTGAAAACAGTAGGCAGCAGCTTTAAGTGAAAAAGGTCTAAAAACCCAATGAGCACTCAGCTCCAAAAAGCAGACAGAGACAGTTGGCGGCTAGGCTATTTCCCTCGGGAGTTGGTGGAGACCTAAATAGTTAAAAGAGAGTAAATAAAGGATTTACATTCATCAGGTGGACACAAACATGACTCCAAATGAAGGATAATACTGCTCCTTTGTACGGGACGTGTAAACTGTTTGGGAACTACTTCGGCAACATCAATTTAGAAGTTAACATCATATCGATGATGAGCTAAGAACCTGCTAATGCTTAAGCGTAGAGCAAAAGACAATCCGACAAGTGACGTGGATAAATTTAATTGAAAATCTGGATATTAGATTTCAAGATTCCTCTTCATGTACCAAAGTGCTGGTCAAAGGGAAACATCTTGAGCGGGAGAATCACTACAAGGCATCCTCTGGGGACCATGAATGCAGCAGGTTGCTCCACAGAGCAGCAGACTGTTGCCTGGTCGGAGACTCACAGCGGTCCTCTCAAGGCCAAGTTGGCCCAAGTGTGAAATTCTCTTTATAAGTCTGCTGTCTCCTCTTACAGACGCCGACCAGTCGGACCAGGCTGCAGGGCTCCACTTCAACTTTGACCCCCAGGGAGATTGATCATGTTTGTGCTTTGACTCTTTCTCCGATCCACCCCAGCTTCTGTGTCAAACTGTTTTTCATTTTTATTCCTGGAAGTCTAATAATAGCATAAAGAGATTGAACTGACTTCTTTTTTCATCACTGCTCTCACTGGCTTCTTATTACAATGAATTAGGCCAAAATGTAGCTTGTGAAAAAAAAGTAAAATGTGTGATTAAAGTTCAAAATGTTTCTGTGCAATCAGAAATAGGATTAAATGATCAAGCCAATGGTTGTGGTTTGGGTGTGCCACACAGGCTGGCTATATATAGAGCATACCAGTCCTCGTTCCTGTTCCATACTGTGGGATCTTTGGGTGACCTTCACCGGAGACCGTGGCGCCTGCTCACTGTGCTGCATGGCCAGAAAGGGGAGGAGTAAGGGTTTTATTTTTTGAGGTACGTTTTATTTTTTTCTTCAAACCTTTTATCAATCTTTGCAGTCACGAACTGTGTTCTTTTTCATGTGGATCAGAAAGCAGACCAGAAGGTTTTGCTGGATCCGTGCCATGCTGGGACAGCCCCTTCACCGGTGATGTCATTGCTGGCAGTCCCAGAGGACACTGCAGTTGTGGGCTGAATGCAGTACGTGTACGTGTGTGTGTGTGTGTGTGTGTCGTGCAGACGTGACGTGATGTGTAAGGGAGAGAGAGAGAGAGAGAGAGAGAGAGAGAGAGAGAGAGAGAGAGAGAGA